GCATTGTAGGTTGTCTCTTAGTTCTGTTGATGGTTTCTTTTGCAGTGCAGAAGCTTTTTAATAAGATGAGATCCCAGTTGTTGATTCTTTCTGCTAGTTTCCGTGCTACTGAGGATTTGTTCATAAAATCTTTTCCTATGCCAATGTCTTCAATTTCTATCTATCTATCTTAGTGCTGGCACTGAACTAAGGGTTTCACACACACTAAGCACATATGTCCACCACTGAGTTACCTCCCATCCTCCTATTTTTTAATTGACTGAAATCATAAGAAGTTTTATCTGTATTCATGATCCAGGTAATGTTAGGGAACGGTAGTCACTCTATACAATGGCTTAGAGGGCCAGCATAATGTCCTTTCTGGACAAGCACCTGGAGGCCAGCCCTTTCCTCAGGTGAGTGGAAAGTACAGGAGATTCAGTTATAGGTGACAGATAGGGCTGGTCCTCTACCTTGGCTTGTGGTTTAACCTTGGAATGTCAAGAAGTGAGCACTTCAAGCTGCACTGCATAATACCAGGTAGCTACAGTCAGAGGATGATCTTCTACATAGGCATCCTGGGAATTCTTAATTGTTGCATTCTTAATTCTTTCTCTGACATCCACTCATGACTGGCTGGACATTTAAATTCGGTGGTGGATGGTAGCTAGTTCTATGACCGACCCACTGGTCTTCCTTCCTAGATGTGTCCCTGTCCCCAAGGGCTATCCTGAATTGGCTTTTCTACTCCGTCTCAGAATCTTTCACCTGTTTTAAAAGACTATTAACAGAAACTAATTTCATATATCTAATGTGGGTGGGGAAGGGAAGTTGGAATCCCCATGAATTCTGAGAGGTCTATTTCTAGGAACCTAGAACTACCTAAAATTATTCTAGACTACCTAGAACTAGTGAAGAGAGTGGCACGAGGGTGGGGAAGATCACTCCTAAATTCTTTTACAATTTTGTGAGGCTATGGGAATTTTTAGGATAAGATGCAATGAATTCTGGTTCTGGAGGTGAGAATTATGGACTAGAAAATTGTACCATGTGTTTTTGCTTATATAGCCCCTGCTTGAGGCTGTGAGAATCTCAATCCGGTGGCTGGGTTGGTTCTGTGCATTTTTTTCTAGTGCTACTTCAGCAAAAATGTTGATCAGGGCTCTTTCCTCTTGTTTTAATTTGTAGCCGTGCAGAAGGAAGCTCCAGGGACACCTTGAATTTAATCGTGGCAAATGACATGTTTACCTCAATATATTTTAAGTTAATGAAAAACCTGGAATATATCAATTTGGCCATAATGCAGAGGCCAGAAAGCAATAAATAATTCTAGCACCTTTCTGTGCTTGTGAAACAAAACTAGCTTTGTTTTATTTATATTTTCCCCTATTTTAAATCTATTATGTTTTAAATCTCAGTGGGATTTGTGTTCAGCTTTGAAAGGCTCATTAAATCACAGATCCTTCAGGTAGGGCTTGAAAACATAAGAGCACCTCTAAGTGGTATTAATTCATACTGTCTTGAGTTGTGGGTGGACACATTTACATTCAGAGGTCCTGGCCAATCTACTTACATTTTATTTTAATCAGAGTATACTTGAAGAAATGTGCTCCTCCAAACAGTGGTCCCTTAATCCATTTTTATTTTATAGTTGTCACTTTATGGTTGGTAGAATAAACACACCAGTAACATACTTTGAAAGGTCTATAAATGGTCCACGCTAAAATTGTGACTGCTCAGGGCACGTGGCCAGGGGAGAAGAAGAAACATGTGGGCATCAGATGGAACAAAATGTTCCTTCCCGAGAGTCAGCACTGGTGGGGAGGTGCAGTGGAGATATACACATTGATTTGACCAAAATTAACTGAGCAACTGCTAGATGCCAAACCTTGGGTTGGACACTGCCCACACCACTGTCCGCTAGACGGACTTAATGTCGGTGCATTGCTGGTGATTGCAGATAAAGGGAAGTAGGGGGGGGGGTCAAGTCATGGTACTTGTTGGATTGAGACTGATCCAAGCACAATCAAGTGGGTAGAGCCTAATCCCCTATCATGTGTGGACATCCAGGGATCAGGTTCCCTTGGGTGTGACAAGGAGAATGAAACAAAAGGAATCCCATTACTTGTTAAAAGTGAAAAGCAGTGCTGTCTGTGGATTAAAAACAGCTAGTGTTGTTGAACACTTCCTCTGTAGGAGGGGCTGTGTGGATCTTACATACGTACATGCGCTCACTTAATCTTCACCACTAGCTCTATAACTGTGTAGTATCATCATCTCAGTTTTACAGTCAGGAAATAGAGGCACAGGGAGGCTCACTACTTACTCAACACAGCGTAGCCATCGAATGGGAGAATAGAGGGTGGACTGGAATCCTCATCTCTGATTCCAGAAAGCAAGTTCGTGACCACTCAGTGTTGGTACAGCTCTTGGTGTGGGACTAGGCATGTGGGGACACCAAACCCACACAAATCCCTCTGATCTACCGTCTTCTTCTCCGAGAAGCTGTCCCCGGCCCTTCCAGAGGGGGTAGCCCCTTCTATCTCGTGACGGTCACGTCTCCATGGTGACAGTCACCACTTCCTGCCTGCCTGTCCTACTCACTACACGGGGTCTCCAGCAGGGAAGTGGAAGGGATCAGATGAACACCACGGAGTAGGAGGAACAGCCCATGCCAGCAAGGGACACCAGCAACAGCACCTTGCAACGCCCTGAATACCTACCTGGGCTTTCCATTCAGGGATCCGGGACCTGGGCACCTATCTTGGTCAGCGTAAGAGTGGAACTTCCCCCCGGCCAGTGAGGACATGCTGCTTTTCCAGAAATATCCTAATTTTGTTCCTGCCCACTTTGTCAACTATGCCATTTTCTCATTTTTCAGGAGGTCTGGTGTCCCTCTGAACTGACCCAGCATCATCTCTTGTGCCTGAGCGTGAAGAGACATCACCTGAACAGGGTCTCTTTCCCTTCTTTGCACTTCCATTGAGAAAAAACTAATAACTGGGAGCATTACATTGTGAGGCTTCCTTTTGGGTAACGTGTGGAGGGGGCCACTGCCACTGTAAAGCTGAGATCCCCTCCCGGGGAGATGTGTTCCTCTCTCAGGGTGGCAGACGCGGTCATATCTGTGTCTCGCCACAATTCCCACCTGCCTACGGGATACAGGACAGACAGACCACAGCATCTGTCACTGGAGCTGGATGTAGTCGCAGAATCTTGCTCCGCTCAGCTGCATTTCAGGCAGTGAGGAGTGTGGTGTGGAGTCGACAACTAAGAAGCAAATGACTTCCCTTCTTTCAACAGGGCTCTATTCTTGCCGTGTCATGTAGTCTGCCTTGTGTATTTCTTAGAGAAAGTGGAACTGCCCTTCCCCAGGGACTTTTACCACTTTTATCATTGTTCCCATGGTGAAACTATAAGGATCTTGTGGATAAAGAATTTGAAATATCAAGCAATCCTTCTGGAGAGAAAGAAAACCAGAATTGTTTAGAGGTCCCAGCACCGGGGACTTCTGTCATTGCACACGAAGAGAAAGCTATAATACACTGGCTGCTCTCATTAATCGCATAGGCTTGAACTCCCAGTAAAACTAACAAGACCATGTGTGATGGTTTGTGAAAAAGGAAAAATAATTTGAAAAGCTTAGAAGATAATTAGACATATTTAAAAGCAAAAGAAGAAAGGCCATCATAGGTATTGCCTCTGTATTGAAACAAACACATAATAAAATTCACTGAAGGAAAAGGAAAAGCCAGATTTTGGTGAAAAATCTAACAAGACCATTCAGTAATATACATGTTATACTTGCCTTCATTTCATTTTTAGCTTTACCTCAAACTTTTCTCAAGGTTAAGGAAACTCATAGCCTTTTGCCCTTTGAGGCAGGATTGCAAAAATATTCAGCACACGAAGGGTGAAATTTTTTAAAATTATTAAAATTTTAGTTTAAAATCGATGAAAAGCTATCAAGACACCCACAGAGAGAAGGGTGAGGGTATAGTATAGTGGTAAAGAGGCTGAACTAGGAGTCAGAGGCGTTTGAGTTTCCGTCTGGTCTCTGTTAGCAGCTGCATGGGACAGGCAGATGGTTCCATGGCTCTGAGCCACACTCTTGCACACGTAAAATACAGAGCGTGAGAAGCCCTGCACAAATATAAAGGCGACTCGGTAAGGCACTTCAAAGGCCTGGCACAGAACGAACACTGAGCCAATGGGCTCTTCGAATGTCCAGTGGACCTACAGTAAATAAATGAAAACACATCCGGTGAGTTGATACACTTTATTTAAATTACAGTCTGAAAGACTGCCCCTGGTTTAGCTAATCTTTTATGTCTCTGACAGTTTTGCCACCAGGAGATCCTTAAAGCAACCGAAAAGTAGAATTGAACCAGAGCAGTGACTGACTGTGAACAGTCACCCAAGTCTGATGGGACCTTGCAGGTGGCACCGAGCGCCTTTGCTGCCCTTGGCCCAGGTCTGCCCTGAGGCCACCAACACCACCTCCTGCATCACCCAGCAGGGGCTGGGAAGCCCAGGAAATCACTCCTGTGGTGAAGAATGGCAGGATTAACCAGAGTCAGCCTTAGGACTGTTCTAGGAGCTGTTATAAGCCGACTCAGAACTTTTGTTGCCTTGAAGCATCTGAGCACCATGCACAGAGAGGGGGTGTGGGGATATGGACAGAAATGAGCAACAGTTGATCCTGTAAACCCAAGGGACACGTCTATGGGTACACTGAGTTCTGAGCTTTAGAATCTCCACTGTAACACCAGGGGAAATCAGCATGGCCATTCTTATTTTATAGGCAGAAAACCCAAAGCACTGGGGGATTAAATAATTTGTATTGGAATGAGATTTTACTAACTCTGTAGAAAACTGACTTAAAACTTAAACATGGATAAGCCACATCCTTCATTCAAACAATATTTTACAGTCTATGATGAAAGAATACTTAGTGATGGAATTTCCAGATTGGTTGCTCACGAATTTAAGAAAAATTATGCAACTTTCCACCTCATTCAGCAAATATTTATCCTGTACATACCAAGTGCTGGGTCCTGGAGATACATGCCCATTTAAGACTAGCACTGTACTAGCCTTTGGGGAAATCAGGAGACACAAATTGTAAAGAAATTTTTTAAAAGTTAGAGATTCTGCCATAGTGACAAAAATCTGTACAAGTTACAGCAGGGGCCTAGGGAGGACTCAGGTATTGAAAGATCATCCTGTGTTTGTTTTGCCCTAGGTAGGCTCGGCAACGGAAAGAATGCTACTGATCACTGAGACACGCAATCCTTGCCAACTGTAAACCCACAAACAGGCAAACATAAGATACATCTAAGTGCTAGGAGTCCAAGTGTGTGCTCACATAGAATGTTATCCTTTTGGTCTAGGATCTGAAATGAGAGGGTAATTACTTTCCAAGCCCTAAAACAAAATGGGCTTTGGAGTCTCCTACACGTTGACCTTTAAGTAATAATTCCTGCTGATAGCCATCTTGCCGAAGCAGAACCCTACCATGGGGAGGGCCTGAATCTACCCAGAAGTTTGATGGTTGGTAGGAGGGTGGAGGGCCAGGCCTTGCCAAAATTAGATGCAGCTTTCAACCCACCTGTGCTCTCTCTGCTTGTGTTGGCTTTGGCAACACCCACGGGCCTGGTTTCTTCCTAACCCGGCAACAATCCTTCAGCAGTCTCCTTAGCTGACTCATTAAGCTCCAGTTGCCATGTAGGGGTTGTTCAGGTTGCTCAACTTCAAGAAAAGTTGCTCTTGTATTTTCTTACCATTCTCTTTCCCCAGGTAATTGCATCCTCTGTGACTTCTATTACAATATAAATGTCGATCACTGTCATTCGTCTCCAGTTCAGATCAAAGATCCACACACGCATACGTCCAACCCTAAGCTTGATTTCTTGCTTGGAAGAGGTCACCAGTTTTCCCAACAAAACCTACATAGAATGAGCTCAGGTTACTTTCCTTCTGACTGCATACCTATCAGCTGTTTTCTACTTGGGAACTATTCTTCACCTCATTCAGGAATTCTCTAACCTGCATACATATTTGAAACATCTGAAGGTTTTGAAAACATGCTGTGCCTGGCTTAACCAATTCCGTCAGAATATCTGGGCTGAGTGGTTCGAAGGGAGTTTAATGTACATCTAGGTGAAGAATTAGAACATATTTTTAATTTGGAAATTAATGCATTATCTCTATCTTTCCCTTTTTATTATCCTGTCATAGTCTGCCATGTGTTGGTATTTTATCTGCTAACTAGCTCTTGACTTTACCTATTGTTTTGCTTCATCAAAACCACTGCTCTACATCAAAATATCATCCTCTCTGACCTGAAATAGTAATTCAACTGTTCTCATTGTCTTGATCCTTGTTTTACACCATTATCACTATCCACAGTGCAGCCAGGGCACTTTAAGTAAATCTGGCCATATTATTCTGTTGCTTAATATATTGCACTTGTCCTTTGTTTGGTCTTAGAATAAGCCTCAGATAAGGATGGTGTATGAAGGTGTGGATAGAGGGCTGTGGCTCTTTTGTTTTGGTCTCATCAAGAAACCTACCTTTTCTCTTCTAAAAACACACCTTCCTGAGCTCTAATAGATTGGGTGCATGTGTAATCAGGTCTCCTGGGGTGCTCGCGGTAATGCATGACTTCCTCATTGACAATGGTCTTTAGCATATCAGTGGCCACAGCAGAAGCAGCCTTGCCTCTGAGTTCACAGAGAAAAGGCTTGGATTTGAAGTTCCTGATAACCCTCACCCCAGCCCCACCTCTCAGGGCCGAACCTATGACTTCCAGCGACACAGTGAATGATGGATAAAATACTCCAGTGTTCTTTTGTTTACTGTCTATCTTTCCTGTTCATCTGTAAGATCCAAGAAGGCAACAGTGATGGGTATTTTGCTCCCTGAAGTGATTTCATTTCCTAGCACAGAGAAGGTCATCACGATCTGATGGATGACCCCCCAAAAAAGAATAAATCTAGTCTTGGAGACAGCTACAGCACAGAAAGTCAGATTAAGGAAACAAATGTCAATGGAGGGCTCAAACATCCAAACATCTGATTGACCAAATGCCATTGTGCTGACTCCCAGAGGGGGTCTGAGATGGAGGTAGGTAGACCATGAAAATGCCTAGCCACGCTCCTGGGTACTTTTCTACCAGGAGATGCTGTTCGGGCATTTTCGGGGTCCTCTTCCCTAACGAAGTAGAAGCTCTGTCCCAAAGCGTGCCACACAGTCATTTTACAATCTGGCCTCAGAAGGGAAAAGGAGTGTATGCTGCTTAAGCTCCTTAACAAGCAGTGCTATGGAAAAGAGCGGTTGAAGCACATCCATAAAACATACAGTTAGTTACAGAAATGTGTTCTTTTGTTCCACCCAGAAAATGTTATGCAATATGGGGATACATTCATCCCTTAATAATGTAAACAAAATTAGGATAACCTGTGTTTTTTTGCCTTTATAGCTTGATTAATTCACTAGTGCTCTCGGTGTTTGGATGTGGCTATTTGAT